TATGGTAAATAATATTATATTTTTGTAATAATGTAAGTGAGTGATAATTATCTTTTAAATAATGTCTTAGATCCTTATGACAAAAACCTAAAACTAACATATAATCTTGGGTGGTTGGGTCTCTAGTTATTCCGTAACATGCAGCAAGAAATTGGGCAGTATTATCAAGCGTGAAACTTAATGTCACCTGATAATTTTTGTAATTATGTAATTAATATTTCTGAAATATCAAACAGATTATAATAAATGCAATAATAATTTAACTTACTTCTTGAAACCAATTCACATTATTATTATTTGAGTTATTCAACCTTTTCAAAATAATCATTTCTCTTACAAATCTTTCCAATATTTGTCTTTCAGAATTCCATTTATCATAGGACCCATCTTTCCAAATCGCTTTATAAATGGTAGCACATCCCCCTTCTGTCAGATGTTCGACATCCTCAAATTGATCATATTCAATCCATTCAATTACTTTATAAGGTGTTGCAGTTTTTTGTTGTGATTCTTGAATTAATTTATCAATTTCATAATTTCCAGATGTCCAATTTCCAAAATTATTTTCTAAATATTTACGAATGCAAAATTCGCAGTATTGGGATGCTTGATGCCAATTTAGACAATTGTTACATTGTTGTTTTTCTACAGAATTATCCCCAATTCTTAATGCGTCATATGTATTCTGTAATTGTTTAAATAAAAATTTCTTTTCATTTTTTGTGAGAGATGAGTCATTTTCAATAAAATCTTTTCGATATTTTTCTTTCTCAATATTTGTTTGAATATTAGGGACTAGAGTATGAAGTGACTTATCCCAAACACTTCTTAATTTTTCATTCCATTCAATTTTTTGAGTAGCCATTTCCGATTCATTTATTGGTGATACAATTTAAATATTAAATTAATGCATAATCAATTGTTTATAATATTTAAAAATTTAGTATAAAATTATCGTGGATTGGTTTTTTTTTATTTATTTAATAACGGATTATAGATAAGGTTTATTAACTCATACAGTTAACGTATTCGTCAACTTTATAATTAGTAAATAATTAATGTATAATATATGTAATGTTGTACAATTTTATAATGGACGGGACGCAGAATAGAAAAAGTTAAAGAGCAGTATTTAAACGAATAATTATAATATTTTAATCAACGGTTGATAGTAATTTTAATTTTCAGAGAATTGTCTTATGACTGTGGATTGAAGTGAAGTCTTAAACAAAAGATTGTCCTTGTTAACTATTTTTGTTACTTATGCGTCACAAACAAAATATATAAATATTATCCATTATGTATTTTATTAATTAATAAATAAAAATTCTATTATAAATATATAATAATAAAGAGTATAAATAAATAATTATTAAATAATACTTATTTTCCAAATGTAGGTAATTTTATATCACAAATACAAATATAATTTAGAGGATATCGAAGAAGCAATTCAATTTAAGTGTTAATCAAAGAAAACTAGATCTAACTAATAAGAGATAAGTTAAAATAATGAATGAATGCATAATGTGAAGAAGATAATGAATGCAATATAATTAGATTAATATCTTCACTAGATAATAATTTAGCATTATTAGAAGCATGACAATCAACATTTTAACCTTCAGATATGTTCTTATAATAAAATGATTATTTCGCAAATCAATGAAACGATACAATGAAATTATTTAATCAGCAAACTTATATGTTACACATATAATTTAAGTATAGTAATTTACTAAGTATATTTGAATGAATTTTTTAAAAGCAAATCCCTACCCCATAATGTGACAATAATTACCAAGGTAATACTCAAGTATTCGTACATGTAATTTTTATTCATTCTAAGCTTCTCTGTCTTTCATAAAATAGGATCAGCTGTTTCAGAACCCATAAAAAAAAATAAAAATATGATAGTAACGAAGTCAAATTCGAGTAAAAATACTTCAAATATATAAAGCTGGGATATATAACCTTAACTTATATGTACGTGGTTCTGTCAGAGATAATCTTTTTTTTTTATAGTCTTCAAGTTTTGTGTACCGGATTTACTTAGCTCATCGTTGTCCCCTAGATATCTTGGTCATAAATTTTTTTGGTTTTGACAAATACCCAAATGATCTGTAAGTCATAGAGAACACTGGGTCAAAATTACGGGTTACGGTGCGGGATTTGCCGTAACCCGTAAAATTACCATAAATAATTTCGAAAGCATTACATATGCCTTTTTCATTGACAAATATGGCATTTCTCCGAATTTCGGAATACACGTGCACCCATTTATTCTCGCGTGTACAAAGTTTTATGTAATAATGTTAAATTTAATTTCATTATATTATTAAAAATGGTGTCTACTTTATCCGTAACGCTTATTGAAAATAACATTCATTTTTACTTTATTAGTTAATGTGATTGGGGGTATGTTTGCACTCTAAAGATCGCTTATAAAATAAATAATTCAAATATTTTAACTCTCCTCCAATTACGTTTGATTGAATTTTTAATTCGTCAAATTAATAAATTATAATAATTATAATTTTGATCAGCTTGAATTTTTAATTGTTTAAACACACACGTGTATCATCTTTAATTAAAAAAAAAAAAAAAGTAAAAAAGAAAGTTGATATTTTTTTATTTCAAAACGAATAACAAATTTGGATATAAATAATATATATTTTTAATCGATAAGATCTAATTTTTAATTTATTTTTTTTTAATCTATCCAAAATTGAAAAAGTGGGAAGTGAATTCAGTTAAAGTGTTGGTGTGTTACATTTTAACCCAATGGGAATATTTAAGAAAACTCACATGTTATCCATACGATTTCCATAAATGAAATATGTATAAGTTTTTTTTTACAAGATGTCAGCGGATCTTACTACATGTTATCAAGTTTCTTGTTATACCATTCACTATTATTGATTTATTACATATTTGTTATTGTAGGTTTTTTAAAAAAAAAGAGTTTTGTATTTGACCAATACATTTCTGTAAGTTTTACACGTGTGCCCAAAATAGGACAAGTAAATAATTCGTGTAAACGTCCAATCGTCGTAACATACCTAAAATTTATTCGTCCAAATTCATCCAAAATTCATCATCTATAGATTTCATCCAATCAATTCTTTCAAAATGGGCATCTTCGCGTGTATAACAAATATAATCTTATGGTATACAAAGGAGAAACATTACATTGTATATATATACAGTCTATACAGTATTTCATAATTAAATATATAAATATATATATTATTCACTTGCACAAGCCCCACCCCCATTAAAAAAACGCCCATTAGAACGCCCATTAAAAAAACACGCATTTTTTTATATAATATAATAAATTTTTTTTTCTTTTACTTTTTTTTTTTTTCATTCTTGATCCTTTGATTTATTGTTATTAAATTATTATTAGTTTAATTACGATCGAATAACAAATTCAACGAAATTAAAAAAAAAGAAAAGTTTAAAAAATTATAATTCAAACACAATAAACAATCCAAAAACAAAGAATTCAAAACGAAATTCAAAAAATAAAAAAATTTAACAATTTCAAAAACCAAAAAATTTAAAATGCAACAACAACAACAACCAACAGGATATCGACCTATTGTTCCTGCTCCACCGGCTCCTCCGACCTTACCAAATTTTGCTCCAATATCGCCTCATCATTCACCTTTAGTTGTCCCTAATAATCATTCTTCCAATTTTCATAATTCTCATCAAAATAATGGTGGAGTTTCTTTACCTCAACCTTTCAAAACACCACCGATATCACCTTTTTCTAATCCAGGACAATATAATAATAATAATAATAATAATGATTATTCGGGGAAATCAGTTTTTAAACTTCCTCCTCCTATAGTACAACCTTTTTCTCAACATATGTTGCTTCCTAATCATTCTTCTCAACCACCACCGCCACAACAACAGGATGGTTCACAACCTCCTCCTCATCAACAACAATCTAGATATGAACGTATTTTACCAAAGCAATTGGGTCCTTCTACTTCTGTCTTCTCAATACCTTTAAATTCTTCTTCTACTACATCATCTAATATGCAACATCATACATCCATTATTCATCCCATCATTCCTCATCACCATCAACAACAACAACAACAACATGGTTCTACAATCGTTCCCAATAAACCTCTCACCACCGCGGATCAACGTGAATTGGCTCGTAAGGTTTCACATTCCGCGATCGAACGAAGACGTCGAGAACGAATTAATGATAAAATCATGCAATTAAAAGAATTAATTCCCAGTTGCGCCGATCAAGATCACTTACATAAATTAAGCATTTTACAAAGTGCCATAGAATATATTCAATATTTACAAGATTTAATCTCTAACATGAGAAAAAAGAAAGATAATAATAAAGATCATAAAAATAAAAATAAAAATTATAGATCATCGGAAGATGATGAAGATGATGAAGATGATGAAGATGATGAAGAAGATGAAGAAGACGAAAATGAAAAGAGTGAAGATGATGATGATGATGATGAAAAACCACCTGCTAAACGATCTAAATTTGATCGTTATGAAATTTTACCATTATCATCATCAAAATCATCATCAAAATCATCAAAATCAAGAAAATTTGATAATAATCGAGAATATAAACATAAAAAAAGTTCTTCTTCCTCCTCCTCCTCGTCGTTCTCATCAGTAGAACCAATCAAATCAAATAAAAAGAATGTTGGTAATGAAAAAGTAAAAAGTAAAAGTAACAAGGAAGATAAAGAAAAATATAAGGGTAACAAGGAAGAAAAAAGTAAAAATAAATATAACAAGGAAAAATGTGATAAGGAAAAAGATGACCCTTTGAAGACTTCTCCATCATCATCATCACCACCTCCACCACAAACCACACAAACAACAACAAAAATAACGAAAATAACAAAAGTAACGACAACCGCCGCAACTCCAACATTAACATCACCACCATCATCACATGATTCACATGATGGACGTGATGATAATGATGATAATGACGATGTCCAAGCTTTATTAATGTTACCAAAACCTGACAAAAAGATGAAAACAAGAGATATAGAAACACAAACCTTACCATTAAATGAATTTAATGAGTTAAATAAGTCAATTAATGAATGTGGTGATGATGTTGATGGTGGTGGTGGTGGTGATGATGAACCTTGCCAAGAAGAAGAAACGTCGGATAATGAAGAAAAGGAAGGAAAGGAGGAGGAAGAAGAAGAAGAATCCCCGAGACGTGGAATGACCGTTCAACAATTATTATGCTAAAGACAACATACATATATAAACCAATATATATGAACAATAGATATGTAAATTTAAATAATTTTAAAACTTGTAGTAAATATATCTTTATTAAATTGATTAAAAACAGTGGCATTTAACAGATAACACAATTTAAAGTAGTTGAAATAATAATAATAAAAATATTATAAACAAAAATTAATATTATCATTATTTATCATTATCTTCTGTTATTATTATGAAAAATTCTCGAAATTGTAATTTCGATCTTTATTTATTTTTTACTTATTTATTTATTTTTACTTATTTTTTAATGATTTGAGAATCCGAAATTACAAATTTCTTCATTATCCTTTCTAATCGTTCTATATTTTCATTCATTTCTTTAATAAAGAATATAACTTGTTGACCAATGACATTTAATTCATCTTCAATTGATGATGTGGTGGTGGTATCACTATCATTATCATTATCATTATCATTATCAATAATATTAATATTCTTCATTAAATTCAAATTATTATTATAATTTGAAATTGAATTGAAATTTGAAATTGAATTGAAATTTGAAATTGAATTATCCAAATATTTTTTAATTAACATGTGATGATGATGATCGGAATAGATATTGTAATTAGTGCAGTCGGTACAGTTGTCCGCACAGTCACAATCGGTGAACTCGCATTCGGTATATTCGGTACCGTCGATACTTTCGGCGTCGTAACAGTAGTCGGTGTAGTCGGTGTAGTCACCAATGTTCTCGTTATTATTTATGTCATCATCATCGTCGAGTACAGACATTTGTATATTAAGTTTATGCATTACTTTTTCAAGTTCATCAACACTAGTGAACATTCTTTCGACTATACAATAAAATAATATATATATATATATATAATTATAAATTATAAGAATAAATAAATTATAAATAAATAATAATAAAATAAATAATAAATAATCATAAAATTTTTTTTACCTTCTCCTTCTAAAACATTCTTAATACCTTTGTCAAAAACGTATAAATGTAAATTCAAAGATATATTATAAAGCTTTTGTCGTATTTGACAAGGCGCGAAAGAAGAATGATCATCTAAAGTGAAAATGTGTTGTGATTTTCGCATAATTTAAAATTGGGATTTGTGATTTGTGTAGGATACGCTATGATGATGAGATGATTATTATTATTATATTATAATATTATAATTACAAAAGAAAGAATGAATGTTATGTAAAAAAAATGTATATACTGTTAAAAAATTTGTGAAGTTGTAAAAAAAAAAAATAAGAATAAAAACTTTTAAAATGTGTTGTTGTTTTTCATTAAATGAACGAATGACTTATAATTTCTATTTTTTATTTTTTTTTTTTCACTTCTACAAATGACGAAAATAATAATAATAATGATAATAGTATGTCATCAATAAAGAGTTAATTGTCAAAGGACTATATGCATTCAGTTATTTAATTAAGAACTTTTAATTTAATTTGATTAGTTAATTTGTTTTAATTGTTGAACTGTTGAACTGTTGACAGGTTAAAATACAACGAAATTCTTGAATTCATCGTTGTCAAAATATTTTTTTTTTTTTTTTAAAGAAAATCTATTTTTTACTGTATAATGATAATGAACGCATATGATGTTGTTGTTATTGTTTTTTTATGTATGTTTATTGCTATTTGGTAGCAATAATTGAATAAAGGAAATGTCAAAAAAAAAATAATAATAAAATTTATGACAAGGAAATAATAATAATTATTGAAAAATGATCATTTTATTTAACTTTATATTTTATTTATTCAAAAGGGTCCGTGGGTTTTATTTGACATTTATTGTGTTTTTTTTATTGTTTATTATCTAGATTACATTCATTTTTATTTTTGTCACTTCTGTCATTTTTGTCATTTTGTCATTGTTAAACATTTATTTCGATTTAGTATATCAAAGTTTTTTTTTTTTTTTTTTCTTTTATTTTTTAAATTAAAAATTTTTTCTTTTTATCGTTGAAATTGATAAGGAACAAATTATTTTTTTATCGGGAAAGAAAAGATAACATAAATGAGTTTACGTACCACAATTACCAACCGAATTATTTATTTATTTACAAATAATATTATTTAATTTTCTCCATGACAGGGTAGAATAAATAAGATAATGTAAATAATATTATATAAGAATATTTTGTATTAAAATATGTAGACAATGGGTGGACTTTCCCTCTCTTATCATCACTTATCAAAAAATTTTTATGTATCCGATTTGATTATTTTAGAAATGAAAGAAAAGAGAAATAATAGAAAATAGTAATGATATTAAGGATAAGGACGTAATGAATGAAATTTATTGATAAGCTCAATAAAGCATACCTGACATCCTACTGTGCATAGCATTACTCATACATTCATGAAATACATTTAGAGAATTTTCAAGAAAGAAAAGATTAATTTTGGGGAAAACATGTCAGCAGGGTTCGTTGTGCGTGTGAATTTATTATGTTGTATCGCAAAAACATAAACACACCCATGAAAAAAAAAATAATAATGTAAATATGCACAAATAGAAAAAGCTTTCCATATTGAGTATTTTTTGGAAAATTCTATTTAAAAAAATTCTAAAAATTCTGGAAATCTAATTACAATATGCAAAATGTAAAATTTAAAAATCTTTAATTTTTAATTCTTTTATTATTTATCCATTTATATTTAAATATCATGATTTGTTTACATAATAATATTGTATATTTTAAAATTTTTTTCGTTATGAAGAAAAAATATTTTATAGTATTTTTTTTTTTTTTTAAAAAAATGACTGATAGGTCGAATGTAATAAAAAAACAATTTAAAGCAATTATGAAAATTCTTCATTTATATATTGAATTAATTTCAATGAACTATAAATATATTTAAATTATTATATATTTAAATTATTATATATTTAAATTATTATATATTTAAATTATTATATATTTAAATT